GTTTTAATAAAAAATACATGAGCTTCAGAACGAAGACTCGTCTGTCCAAAAAATTGTGCATCTTGCTTTAATTGTTCCATCATTTCCAAGTAAAAACGTAAAAGAGTTGCTCAGATAAAATTTTATAAGAGTGTGGTATTTATATATTTTTTAGTGTTTTCTGTGACTTAGCATAAAAGCATAAAATTTGCCTAGTGTTTCATAAACAGGATTTTCGTGGAGATTCTAAAATTACACATTTTTTTTTAATAGACTACAAAAAAAAATTAAAAAGGTGCATTTTTGACATTTTTCTACGGGCGGGTTTCATAAATTCTGCATTATGATCTTTTGTCTCAGAATTTCCACAATTAATACACTTCATTTTTTTGTTCATGCCATTATAATGCACAAATGACAATGTAAAATATATTTTATTCTCAATTTTGGCTTGCACTGGTTTGCTATAAGTTGGGTTTTCTGTTGCATTATGCTGGAACTGGAAAACTTTTTTTGTGCATATATTCTGTGAACCAGCAAATTGGTTACTGTAAGCGTTGGAAATTTGATTTTTTGACTTTTTTTTAATTAATTTTCTTCCATGCCCAAACAGCTATTGGTGGCAGCCAAATTGTAAATGTTTTCGTTTCGCGTTTTCAAAACTTCAGCGGTAAATCTTTGCTAAGTCCTACTACGTCTGAAAGCAACTTATAAATTAAATAAAAATTATTGTTAATCTCATGAAACCTTGCCCAGACACCTAGTCACATACTATTATTAATAATAGAATTACTCATTTTGTGAGTTGTTGTTTATATTTTCAAATTTCGCATCATGTGATCAGTGATCTAGAGATAATGCGAGATGATGCTGGCAGGTTAAGCCAGATTTTTAAATCATTCATCCTAAATCCAGTTGTTTAAGTTCTTATCGCGATGATCGCATGAAATTTTAACAATTAGTAATCGTGTTTTTTTCGTCATCTTCTGGTGTGGTTTCCTCTTTATTCGGATATGATTAATTGCAAACAGTATGGAGAGCATAGTGTTTACGCAATACACATTCATTCAGTGTTTGATTGCTAAAAATGTCTCTAATCGTCAGTATTGCGTTATGAATGAACTTTTTGATATGCAGAACTTAAAGTTGCAGTTGGCTTGCTATCCGATACATGGAGGAAAAATAGTTACCGATAAGAATGCAATGTGTAGCGATACCCTCATAATTTCCAGTTCAGGTTAGTGCCCTTTGACTGTGGTAAAAAGCATTTATATATGAGCGAAACTTGACACCTGTGACCCGTTACATTTGTTTCGTCAGTGTTCTTAAGGCGGTGACATATTGGCAGGTATTTTTTTTAGTCAAGACTGGGTACTGTTGAACCGAAAAGACCATTGGGAAACCAGGAATTAATTTCTTGGTATATGTAGGTAGAGTTGGCACGGATTTTTCGGTCGGTCCTGACTTGATCAGGCCTTTTCACTAGAATTTCAACAATTTTGTCCTGTGTGCAATCAATTGACTGGAGAGTGGAGTATTTGCTTCATTTTCTCTTTTGTACCTTTGTTGTGCAATTTCATCTACATGCCCTTTTACACCTGCCAGTTCTTCATTTCATTCACCTCAATGAATGCTTATAATGTTTTATAATTATAGTGAGTATTTGTCATATGTATTTAATTTCAAAAACGGCAAAAGTAGGTACATACAATGTGGGCATCAAGTGCTTGGTTGTCTGTGAATTGATCAACGGCATTGTAAAAACTGTGCAAGTTTTTTAATTCATGGACTGGAAAATCCTTGGTCTGGCCAATAACTCCCATTTTTGTTTCATGAATTGCATTTAAAAACTAAATTCTACCTTTTCCGAATTGCTACATTTCATTGCTAATTTGATTATTCGGTACATTTACAACTGAAAACTTAATGAAAAGCCCATAAACAATCAAGAAATTAAATTCACTCATTAGCGAAACAAGAAAGCATTTCTGCCAATCGAAATAAGACAGAAACTATTTTGGCCTATTGGATTGAATTTCATATAGACTACCTACTTTCCTTTTCAAGAAAAATGTGAAAAACCTGTATTTTCTCTGTCATTCCTAGCCTACTCCTTAATAACCTGCCATTAGGATATATAAAATTATTCTCAAAAATGCTCACTTTTTAGTCATTAATTTTTTGTAGTTTTAATGTTCCAAGTTTATTTCCAATTGCCTCCAGACATTTTTTTTTAAGTTTTAGAACGCGTATTAAGTTAAAAGCACTTCGATTAAAAAGTAAAGTCTTTCAAGGGTGAGTTTTTCGGGTTTTTAGGCCGTCGTGGAAAATAATGTCTTCTTAAACCAGCTCTGAAGATGTAAGCCACTCTTGAAAAACTCGCCAGTTTCGATTTTGTTTGTCTTTATGTTGTTGTTTAACGTGTTTTATTCAAATGAGTTTAATCCATATCTTGTATTAATTTATTTGGTCAATTCAAACTAAATATTGTAACAAAAGAAACTAAAGAGGCACGACGGCCTAAAACCCCGTAAATCTCACCAGTAAGCTATTTGAAGTGGAAAATGCCCAGTAATGATGTGTTTTTGGAAAATATGTAAGCAGCTTTTCCCTGTTTTAATTGGTTTAATTGTTMAAAAWAATCCTGTTAACTCAACTRTTTGACTTATTGGAGCTTTTAGGCCSTCGGGGAAACGAATGTYGTACWCAGAGACAAGCTAAAATACAGCAAATCTGACAAAATRACAATTTTTAATTTCCCAGTTTGGCGTTTYTTYAATTTTTTTGYTTTCTTGTACTTGWTTTGTAAAGACCTTCATYATGATGAAATATCTATTGGCTTMGTTTYTATTCGTCGTTTTCGTTATTTTKAAATCGTTRTTTATTTGCAAACATTATTTTGCAGAGTAGGATAAMTTTGTATCTAATTTACTTATTACATTACATTACTTATTACTTACATTTACTTATGCATCTTAGTTCGAAACAATGCTAAATATATTTTGTTGCATAAAGTTTATTTCGTGATGATTTTTTGTTTCTCCTTATTTTTTCTGTTCGCCTTCTTGTGCACTTTTGAGATTCCTCTTTGCACTTATTTCGGATCAATGTCAAACATTTCTTATTACTTATTTGTGTTTTATTTTCCTGATTATTTTTTTATTTTCTCTTAATTAGTCTTTGTCTTTTTATTTTTTAAATTTCATTTCAAAATTCATCAAACGTGTTGTTTTTGTGCGTGGTTTTAGTTACATCATCAGTAAAAAAAGACGAATTTACGCTATTGTATTTGACTATTTCGCCTCAAAAGCTCAAGTCCCTTTTTTAATATGAATTTTAAGCCAACATTTTCTTTAATTTGCGAAACGAACACTTTATCCCATTATAATATAAAATGTATCTCCTAGATGAGTGCCTTTATGGATATTTTAGTCTTACCTGTATATATAAATAAGCCATAATTGAATATAAAAAATAGTTAAATGTTCAAACTTTGTAACGAGTGCAAAAATATAAATTACCAGAAGTATTAAATAGTTTAGTCTAGTAATTGAATGAAAGAAAAATTGTCGTTTTGATCAAGTCTTTGCAATTTAAGTGTGTGTTTCTTTGGTTTACTTCAGTTTTTAGCACATTTCAGCATTAAAGAACAGTATTGTCTTGTTTTGGGTAATAATCTGTGGTTTTCCCAATTTCCTTCTATTTCGGTCACAAAAAGGTTTATCAATTAGGTTTTTAGACTTCGCAAGCTAATTAACTACACGCATTTGACAACATCAACGGAAAGTTAAAACAAGTGGTTAATTTTATAAATAACAAAATAAACTTGAAAATTAGTGAGATTTTCCATTAATTAAAGTTCCCATCTTAAATAAATTTTTTATCGTTATTTTAGCTTCCTGTCTATTTCAATTTGGATTTGATTGTTTAATAGTAAGTGTTGTAACTGCATTGGAATCGGAAATTTATTTTCAATTAGTACTTTTATTATTTTCGTTTCCCTTATCGAAATTGTTAATTTTTTGCGCAATAATTCACGTGTATTTCGTGTCGCTTTCTTTCTAATTCATTTGAAAGTTCTGGAAAATAATTTGTTTTTCAAATAAGAAAATGTTTCCGCTATCAATTCATAATATAAAACGTGAGAAAATTCGCTCTTCGTGCAGTCCAAGAATTTGAAGCTGAATAACCAAAAGATTTTTTTTATCGGACTAGTAAACCAGTCTGGATACAAATTCTTTCAAAAAATTGCGTATTCAGGTTTATTTTCTTCATTCGTTTTATTAACTACCTCATTCATTTTTCAGAATTATTTTTATTCGTTTACTTACTGAAAGTGTCCACTTTTTTGCAAACACCTTGACAGGGACATTTGAGAAGAAGCGGTGGAGCCCTGAAATGGCCTTTCATGTTTATTTTGATTGTTTGATATTTTATTTCGCTTCTCATATTTTTACGCTCTGTGGGTAGTTTATATAGATTGATAAAAACACTGAATATGGATAATTGGGCGATGTTTTCTCTACCAAATCAGTACATTAATTCAGTTAAAAATAGAACTTCGTTCATAGTCTGTATGTAGATACCATTCACATATCCTAAATATTTAATTTTTTTAGCTCAAGAGACTGCGACCACTTAGTGAACTTAAGGTCTTTCAGCATGCGTCTAAATTTGCATTTGTGATCGATTTATTATTAACTAGCGATAGAATAGGTTCATAGGTTGTGTGAGCTATCCGAATGGTAAAAGTTCGATTGAATTGTGTAGGAGTGTTGAACAATAGCCACTGTTCTGGTAGACTATCGAAAGGTAGTAAGTTAAAGTTATCGAAAATGCTTTATTGCTTCCATATCGCTTGCTTCTATTATTACGGGGCATGTAACAAGGTTTTTTCTTTATTATGACTGCTTTCTTTGTTCAGTATGCAGGCCCGTTCTATTTTAAAACCTTAAACTTAAAAAAAACACTGCTGATTAAGCAATATGGAAAAAAGTAGACACAATGAAAAATGCACCGTATTTCCTTTGAAAAAATTTAATTTGATTGTAAAGTTAAAAAATGTATTCGATTCCTTTCTGCTTTGGATATTCCAGGTTGATCAGCAAACTTCGAGCTTTTCATTTTTTAACGTGGATTTAGATTTAACTTTATTATGCAAACGTATCGTTACTTTAAAGTAACATTTCGAGGAATTTAATGTAATATTTCATAAATACACGAGACTCAATGAAGGAAATGCTTGCAAGCTACTGCTTCCTTAAACAGTCGGTATTCGTATCTCTAAAATGTTCTCTTCAACAAATTTTTTAAGTTCCTTATATGTTTTGTCCAGATCATCATTTACTAGGGTTTTATCAAAGTTGGGTGTTAATCCAAACTTGATTTCCTCCCTTGCTTTGGCCAGTCTTCGCGCCAGACTCTCCTCGCTCTCAGTCTTTCTCTTCAACAGTCTCTCTTTAAGTTCGGGAAGAGACGGTGGATGGATGAACACACACCAAGGATTTAACGTTGTCTGTTTGATCTGTTTTACGCCCTGCATATCTATATCCATTAGCACTATTTTCCCTTGCTTAGCAATATCTTCCACTGCTCTGAAACTAGTTCCGTAGATGTTTCCGCTGAAGACAGCGTGCTCGATGAAGTCACCATTTGCTATAGCAGTTTTCATGTCGCTTTCATCGATGAAATAGTAGTGTTGGCCGTGTTTTTCACCAGGACGAGGCGATCGGGTTGTATGACTGACTGTAAATCCGAATTTTTCGGGAAAATCGTCTATCAGCCGTTTGACTAACGTGCTTTTGCCTGAACCCGATGGCCCGCAAAAGACTAGTGGACGTGGCAGTTTTGGATGCATCGTGGAAAAATCTGCATCAAGAATTTACCAGTTAAAATCACAAAGATGTCGTTGGAGAGGAAGACGATGTGAATGGGATTATGGATCTCAGGATAATAATAAATTCAATATAAGGCCAAGTGCTGGTTGATTCATTATGGCTTAGTTAAGAATCGTACTTAAAATTAAATATGGTTTGAACATTAAAGGTTTTGGGAAGAAAAAAACGAAAAATGAAAGAATTTTTCTCTGTGCCCCGTTCTTAACATGTCTCAAACCAATTAGAAACCACTCTTGGAATTTTCGTAAATTTTTTAGATCTCAAAACAAAAAAATTTATTAAAAGCCATGTAAACAAGTTTTATCCTCCAAGTATTTGGAATTTTTCCATGACGTAAACAATTGGATCATGATAGTTTCAAAACCGAAACATACAATTTCGAGACGAGATAGTCAGGAAGAATCGGAATTTCCAAAATATAAATAAATACAGAAAAATGCAGATCACTTTCAAGTTGAGCTAAATCTATACGTCAAGGTATTAATTAATAAGCTCTAAGCAAATTTGTATTTTGTACGCCGCTAATTATTTCTAGGATTACCAAGATTACGAGAATCTCTGATGTTTTTCGTTTGCCATCTAAGCTACTCTCAAATACTATAAAGATTTTTTATCGAGGCAAGAATTCGTGCGTCGTATAATTTCGTACCTTGGTGTAAGGCATAGTTGGACTGGCTGCCTCATAAAGGATTAAAAGATTATAAATTGTTCGACTTCTACTAATTATTGAATGGATGAGTTGTTGAACTTAAATCTAGAATTGTGTGAATTGAATGAATTAATTATAATTTTTAATATAAGAAAAATGTGAAAAGTTAAAATTTTTGTGCTCGAAAAGGGAAATTCAGAGGACAAATCAAAGTTACACATCTTATCTTTTGCAGTTTTGCAGTATCAAAAAATAAATTCCCGTGAGTTATCAGTATTTAAGCCTAAGGAAAATATTTGCTTTTTAACGATCACAAGTTCCGTAAGATCTTGTTAAGTTTTACAGAAAGTAGTTATACTTTGATTACAGGGCGACAAAGTTAAGAAAAAATGTCGATAAAAAGTCACGTAACATTTTAAACACAATCATTATTTTGAATTTATATCAATTGACAAATTTGTATAGCTTTATATTTACGACTTTTTTGGTTGAGACAGCAATGAAATACGTTTCTGCATAATTTGGCAACTTATTTTCAAAGATCTTAAATACAATTTTTATTAGGCCATAAACGCTATAATAAGAATAACAAAATGATTAAGTAACTTGCAAAACTCCGCTTTAAAAGTCGTTAATTTTGCACTAAACGGTCATAATTATTTTATCGATTTTATCGATTTAACAAGCTTGACTTTTCATTTTCTTAAATTTTTTTAACTTGGCTCTGAAACAGCTTTGTTTTATTTAGGTATACCTTCAGCGCTTTTTCCAAATTTAACTTTGTTATGTAATATTTCTAAAATGTCTGGTTGTATCAACTCATCATCATTGCGACAAATGTTTTCAACTGCGGATTTAATAATCGACGTTAAGGAAGTAAGGCATTTATTTCTGCTAAATTTTTCTGGTAGACTTAAAATTTCTATACGCTAAATCAAGTCTTTTCCGTTGAAATTTTCAAGAATCGCATGACTTAATTGATTTAACTTCGTTTTGCATATTTAAACCACATGAACATATTGTACATGATGTTTGCTTCCTTCTCTCAGCTTTGTCTATGCTAGCAAGATCATTGTTACGTTACCTTGTCACTTAACGTTTCCGGCTTTTTTAATCTAACGGTTTTTTCGTCGCTCGACTTTATCGTTAAGATTAGAGCGGGAAAACACACAGTACAGCCAGATACCACTAGAGTCAAACAAAGACTAAAAGCGTACCTTTTCTAAACAGTACCCAACACTTATATTGATAAATATTTGCTCTCGCTTATATGGCGTTATAAATATGATTTCTTGAAAGTGGATTATCGAGTCCATGTACAAAAGCCTAATACCATGATTGTGTGTACCTACATTACATGGTTATGTGATATGCTGTGTTCGGCTGCTGAAGAGATCTTGGAAATATCTTGAATAGTAAAAAAAAACAATTTAAAATCAAAAAAACTGCGTTAAGTGGAACGCATCAACCTTCCTGTTTGCTTGATGTAGAAAACCGAAACTAGTTGATAAAATGTGTTTATGTCCGCTATTAAAGTTTTATTTACCATGAAGGCATTTACGCTTAAATATTTACTCAAGCTTTAAAATAGACACCAAATAGCGACACTCCCTCAATCTCCAAGTCTGTATTAGTAATCGATCTTATTCTTCTGCTGTTTGTCGAAGATTTAACAGTTATTAATACATGCGTTATCATTGAAAATTCCTTGATGTTTTAAACCTTCTACAGTGTGGTCAAACGCCAATTCATTTTTTTCGTCACTTTAATCAAAACTATCCAATGGGTTTTGAATTTCCAATTTTAGGCCAGCTGTCGGAATGAAAATTCACGTTAAAATACGGGTTATTTATTCAATGAACGGTTTTATTTAATTTTCATACCCGTAGAAGAACGGTCGGTGGTAGTCAAGACGCACACGTGTTTAAAATATGCACGTGTTCTGACCTATGTCATTTGTTTAAAGCGAAAAAGTATGTTAAACTGGCAAAGTTATGACATGGGAAGTGCGGTTGAATAGTTTTTTTCAAGAACAAAGCAAAAAGATATGATTCTTTTATTTAATCAACACTTGCAGGCGTCAGAAACGGACCTGGAGGGGTCATGGCTCACGTTTTCTTCAACTTATTTAACAATTTCTGGATGAAACGAAAAAATTTCAATGAGTCGTTCATTTCCATGCCGTTGAAAAATTGTTTTAATTGCGTTAAAATATTATGCCTTCAACTAGTGCATTTTTGTCATTTCAAATTTTATTTACCTTAATATTTTCAGGAAAATGTATTAGGAACTTACTTAAATAGTAAAGTGCTTCATGGTGGTTATATTAATCACGTAATTACTGAAAATATTCATTGGATTTTTAAAAGCTGCTTGTACAATATACAGGATGTCTGTATCCAATCCGTCCGACCACATTCCTGGGATGATTATGTTAATTAAATTGCCCAATCCAAGAGGAGACGGTTTATACAGGGCGCAAAGTTAAGATTCGCCCCAAACCAATACGAATATTCGTTCCGATATTACTAACAAAGTAATAGATTTTTTTTGAAATGTGTACTTTGACTGTACTTCGAAACCCGTCCACTTTTGGATTAGACAAATTAAGTTAAATCATCATGTTTTCTTTCAGCCCAGGAATTTGTTGTAGACATTTCAGAGCACATATTATGCATAAAAATGGAATCGGGTTTATAAGACAATGAACATTGATTAGTATTCGATTTGCTACTGATAGATATTACTCACTTTCTTTGTTTCAATTATTCTCTTGCACAATCTCTCTTGCATTCAAGGAATTATTTTTCTTATCTACTATAAAAGTGTGAAATGCCTGATTCAGTATTTAAAAGTGAATTTAAATTCAGGTTTTCAATAATTTTTTATATTTTCGAGTTGTTTTTCTAATAATAATCTTCAAAAACATGTGCAGTACAGTAGGTGTTAAAATTATACACGATGTTCCTAAATACAGAGTTAAATTTTGTTACTTTCAAAGACGAATCAAAGAAGAATTTTCACAAATAATTTAACCTGGTCGTCCAGAAAACTGTCCCAGATCAAAGACAGTTTTTTTAAAATGGATCACTGCATATTGCAAATTCGAATCGAGTTTCTGCAGGGTGGCATGTTTTGTTTGGGAATATGATTTTGTTTTTTAATTATCGCGGCAGCAGATGCGAAAAAAATTACACAAAAAAGAGTTCAAAATGTATTAAAATCTACTGAAGGCGCACTTCAGGAAAGTTCACCAAGGGAATAATTGGGGAGGCACATCACCCCAATAAATGTGCCACCCTGTAGATTGTATCACGATCTGCTAGACAGAGTAACTTCTCTTACCTAGATTCCAGTAAGCAGTATTTCTTGTAGATTTTTTCCTGCTTCGTTCAAGGCATAAAAGCATACATATTATGTTAACTCTTGTGCTACCCTGTAGATCAAACGAAAAAGTGGCAAAATTAAAATGGATTTAAAGAACAAAAATGTTAGTTGTTATTAATGTGAACTGAAATCTGATTTAGGAACTTTGTTTCATTCGAGAATCTCACCTTATTGTTCGGACATTTTCAAACTTATTGTTTTGTTACTTTAAATTTCGTTACCTTAAAAAACTTTTAAATAGTTCTGAAACTTAGCGTAAAATCTCAATTAAAAGAAAAATACGGAGTGATTAGCAAAATTATTTTAAAGATATTTACAAATTTACTTACAAAGTTTTCATTTCTCACCGAGTAAGCAACTATTGTACTGTTTCAGTGTTAGATGCAAGTATTATTAATTCTTTTTCCTAAGTTAATTCACTTACTCTTGTTGTGGTCAATTACCCAAAAATTAAGTGAATCGTTCAATGTTTAAAAGGTCTCGGGTGTCTGAAATTTCATAAGGTTTCAAGTTTTCTAAAAACCGACATTCTATTTTTACAAGTTTTTAGTTAATTCATTGTTTGTATGATTTTGCTTTTAAGTTTCACCACTGTTATTATAAAATGCATTTAACAAATATTGTACCCTGTACCATAAACTTTGGGATTAAACAATTGTGAAAACTCCGTTATAAGTTACAGGGTGTTTAAAAAAATCAAACAGTTGAAATGGGGTGTCGGCGTTCGTTATTTGCCTGGTATTTTTTAATTAATATTTTTATTATTTATTAAACTCGAGTTTCTGAAGTTACTAACTGCGATTAGTGCATTACCAAGTTAAGATTGTGTTTCATGGTCTTCTAGCGTTCGAAACGAGTTACACTAAAGTAGTGTTTTTTTTTTAATTAAAAAACCTGCAACTTTGAAAGGAAAATTCTCGTAGAGTAAAACTTTTTCTCAAACAATTCACTGCTTAATTTATATACATAATTTTTATCACATCGATTTGGTTGGTAAGTGAAACAGCAAGTGTCTGTACTGGGAAGTTTTATAGATTAGCGCAGCTTTTGTAATTTACCAAAAATATGAAAATTTATTTGGCGTTTGATCATCTAGATTCTAGAATATGAAATTCTGACTAGGACGTTACGAGTCTCCTTTTTCTCGTCTTGGCCTTCCACTATCGACGAAAACTAACGGCATTAAGAAACCAGTTTCTTGTTGTAGAAAAAAAATGCCCAGATTATTGGAACAGTATTAATTCTCTTTCAAAATTATAATGTCTCAAGCTCAACTTAAAGGCTGAATTTTCCGTTAGTTTGGGTTGATGTGAAGGAAAAAAACCATACCTTTCAATTTGTTCTTTTTACTAACCATTCACAAAACGAAAGAACCTACAAAAAACCAAAAAACCGTACTTGTTTCACCTCTGAGAAATCGCGTTGTTTTCAGGAAGAACGTTTTTGAAAAATATTGTATTGTTTCAGTCAACAGCCAACGTCCTGAAATTGAGACATTCAACAAAGGGGTCCGGACATCATGTGTATATATATGCACATGAATTCGCATACGTTTTGTTGGTATTTTCCAGGAAAAACTGTTTAAATTTTGTCTGGCAATTATATTTATCTAATAAATTCCGAGTTGAGTCCTCCTGAGGCAACAGTTTCTTCAGTAAATAACCTTGTGCGAAGAATATTTGTTACTATTTTGGTTTTTGATATAAATAACATCATACTGTACTTGGAGTGAACAGCAAAAGTGTATGAAGCGTATTGAGGCGCAATTGAATCAATTATTCTAATGGGTTGACCCCCCAGGGTGAAGTGTTTGTCCCCTTCTTGAGCGCCCCACGTATAAATACAAATATTGAATCTTTATTAACACTTCGAATTTCCTGAGACCCGTATATGAAGAGCAGAGTTTTGTTTCGGTTTTAGTGTTACAGTAAAGTATATTGCACTCGAACGGGCATTTATGTTGTTAACCCGTTCCCATGTTTGCACAGTGGTAGTTCTTAACGACTTTCGTGGTTGGGTCTTTCAGCTGAGGTTTGATCCATCCGACTTAATCGTGTCCGATTTTATGCTTTTTCAAGCTTTTTCAAATTCTTTCAATGTAATGAGAAATTCAGTTTCAGAATCGCAGTCGGAAAAATAACTTTTATGGTTTGGGAGATTTCATTGGTTCACATACCATACACACGTGTTTCGCCTTCCATGGGACATCAAACCGAACACCATTTGATGACAACTTAATTTTCCTAAATACCCAGTAATATAAGAAACTTTCTTACCAGTTTGCATACCGGTTGAGTCCAATTACTCGGTTGGAAATGAAACCGCGATAACGTATTCAGTTTATCGGAGATTTGACGGTCATATTAACATTGTAATCAGCACTATTATTCGCAGTAGTTACAGTCAAGAAACTTTGTAACGTATTGTGTTACTTTTTGCACTGGAAAGAGATAAAAACTTACAACATGGCAATTATTTAGTGTAGTCCGTTACAGTGGAGGTCAGACGATGCGAAAATACGAAATTCTCATAATGCTGTTCCGGCAGATTTTGTTTCTGTAGTTGAAAACTGGATGACTTGAAACTGAAGTCTCGGAAAAGAAAATTCTTCGAATTAAATTGCACCAGCTATTGTTTATTTGCTTGGAAATTGAGAAAAGTATACAAGATTTCTAGTTAATTCGTGATTATTGCACTCATTCGATTTTTTGTTTTTGTTTAAAAAACAAAAAACCTGCATTTCTCAAATAATGTCGGAATAATGTTGAATTAAACATTCAAATAGAAGGCCCAGTTTCACAGTAATGTGCAGATTTTGCTGTTAAAGATCTTTCTTGATTTTTCTCCCGAAGAAACACAAATTTCAGTGAACATTGCGGCGTTTGATCACTAAAATGACGATAAATATCGATAATGCTCTTTTAGAAATTGGACGAAAGTTGTTGAAATGTTTTAATTGAGAGTACATTTAAAAATTTGAGACAATTATTGTGAACATTTGTTTGAACATATTTTCTAAGTGACTTAAAAGTAAAATCCTGGCATTCGATAGAAGATCTTATTTTAAGTTAAGTTTGTCATGAATAAATTTTGATTTCCACGTTCAAATCGAATACTTTTTGGGTGCTTTTGGCTTTTTCCTATTACGATTTTTCTAGCTTTAATTGTTTAGCCGAGTAATTTCAAAAAATCAGTGAAAGAAGATTGAAGAAAAAACGTTTTTTTCTAAATGTCAGTATTTGAATAGTGAATTTGTTGTATGTTACAATAACTGCAGCCGCAATTTGCTAGCAATTTACTTTGGGTTTATTTGTAAGTTTTTCTTTTAGTTTTTTTGGAGCAAAATTTTCTACAGTAGATTGGCAAATAAAGGTTGAATAAGTCAATCATACGGATGAACGCTTTTGCTTTTAAATACACTAAATGTTTTGTTTTTTTGTGGACTTCGATGCCCTACACCGCGCTCACATTTGATATTCACGTTCAAATCGGTAACTTTTTCTGTGCTTTTGCTTTTACAGTTTTTCCAGCTATAATCGTTGGCGAGTAATTGAGGAAATTTGTGAACGAACATTAACAAAATGTTTTTTAATTCTAAAATTTCAGAATTTGAAAAGTAAAGGCACTGCAGTCAAAATTACAGCAGACGCAAATTACTTGTTAATTTATTTATAGTTATTTGTAGTAGTAGATTTGCTAATGAAGGATGAATAAGTGAATCAATAGGGATAACCGCCTTGTTTTTGAAATACAGTGAAAATTTTGAATTTTTTTGAAACTTACAATACACTCACATTTGATCTCAAAATTGAAACTTTCTTTACTTTTCCCTTTTGCAATTTCCTAGCTGTAATAATTGTGAGTAATTTGTCACAAGCCGTGAAAGATCGCTGGAAAAATTATTTTCGAGTCTTCAAAATTTCGCAAAATTTCAGGTATTTAAAAGTAAATTTAGTTTGTCACAATAGCTGCAGCATATTGGAAAATAGAGGATAAATAAGTGAATCAATACGGATTTCGAATTCTCTTCATTTTGAGAAAATTTTTTTGGGTATTTTTTGCAATTACTCGACAGCTGTAACTGTAACGGAAAAACGCAAAAAGCGACAAAGTATACGGACTGAACCTGTAATACAAATGTTTGCAAATAAAGGGTCAGAAGCGCACTGCAAGAAAAAAATTTACGCTAAAAAAGGGACCGGGTCTCTGGAAACGCACCACCCTGTGCGTTTTCAAGTCGTTTAAATAAAACTTTCGGACCCTTATAGGAAATCTGTGGCAAAATTAGCGTGGATTATGGCAAAAGCCATAGCGACGTTTGTGAGGAACGCTTTAAAAAAAATTAAAACGTTCCTCAACAGTTTTTAATACAACAAACTTAACTTAAAAGGGGGATGTTCTGTCGGATACCAAATCCCTGCCCCTATAAAGCTCACCCTTTGTAACCAACACAGTTAAAAAAAATACACATTTAGACAATCCGCACTTAATTAACACCTAATTTAATTGTTCTTATTTCTTGGCAAGCCAACACATGCAATTGACAGGTGTTTTCCTTCCAGATATCTGGGCAAACAAATGGAGAACCAAACGACAACTGGGATTGGACAACGCCGGAAATTACCGTCGAAGAACAAAATGCACCACATGATGATATTGCCAACCTGAAAGATGCCATCAAACAGCTGGAAAATGAAAGAAATCATCTTCTCGATCAGTTAGAGCAGTTAGATATAGAAAACCAACAGAACTTGTCGGAGCTGGTTAAAATCAGGGAAAAACTACAAGATGAAAACACCGAACTCAGAGATAAAAACGCTCAATTGAAACAGCAAAACAGGTCTCTGGTTTCAAAGGAGGAAAAACTAAACAAAATAATTGAAAACTTGGAAGCGAAAGCACCAACGAAGCAAAACGGGGTACCAGAAGAACTGGAAGCAAAATTGGAACAGGCAACAAAAGAACTGGCCGTGTTTCAAAGTGTTAATGAAACATTGCAAAAAACCCTTGAAAACACTAAGAAAGGCTTCGAAACAGAGCTATCTGAGGTGCTCCAGAAGTTAAAGAAATCTGAATTGGACACTAAAGCAATGCATAGCGAATTACAAGCAGCTGAACAGTTTGTAGAAGCAGCTGAAGTGAAAAGACAAGCAGACGCAGAAAATTGTCAGAAACTGGAATTTATTTTGGAAAGCTATGAAAAACAAGTTACCACCCTCAAGAGTGAATTAGCCAACATCAAAAATGTAAAAGAACCCGATTCTGCTATAGAAAAACTATGTCAACAGTTGCAAGTGGATCTAAATACGGCCTCACAAAATGTAGCTAACTTAGAGAACCAAAAAGCAAAGCTGATTGCTGATTTGGAACTACATGAGTCTGAATTTAAACACAAACTAGAGCAACTTGAACTCCAACTGAAGGTAAAAACTGAGGAGCTCTCATCTTTAAAAATGCACACTAACATCAACTCACCAGAAACTGGAATAAATTCGCCATATCAAGACCAGATTTCCAAATTACAGGAGCAAAACAAAGCATTACAACAGGAGTTGGAAAACTTTAATCAAGCTTGGGACGCAATGCATGTGATGTACATCAACACTATCCACAATTTTATTAGCAAACACATTGATCCATCAGTAATACCTGGCGAACCTAGTCCTGATTTTTTTGCTGGAGAAGATCCACAGTTAACTGAGTTTATCAATCAAATTGACAATATTTTCAAGATTTTGCTGGAATATAAAGAAAAATGTGAGAGCTTAGAAAAGGCGCTAATGGAAGCCTCCAATGAGAAAACTAACATCTTAAATGAGAAATACACCGAAATTGAAAAACTGATTCAAAACTCCGAGATGCTTAGTGAAGAGGTGATTAAAAAAGGAGAAACCATCAAGGAATTTGAATCGGAAGTTTCACAATTGATCGAAAGCAACGATCTTTTACTATCAGAATTGGATTCGTACAAAACCTCGAACTTGCAAACCATTTCCGAGTCAAATGAGGACAGTATGATATTGCTGGAAAATTGCCTGGAAAACGCAAATAAACGAATCGAGGAGCTGGAAGATATTATCGACACTGGTAAAAAGACTGAAAACGAGATCGCCGACACATCGATAGAAGATAAAGTCGCTAAGAAGCAAGATGATTATCAAGAGCTACTAAATAGCTTCGACGAGCTGAAACTGGATTATGATGAAGTAGCTGAGAAACTTAAGAAAGCCAATGAAAAAGTACGCTTAGTCGAAGCAGACAATGAGGAATTGAAAATGGCGCTGGACAAAATCAAGGGAGAATTTGAAAATACAGACTATCAACTGTCTGAGGCCAACATCTACATAGAGAGCTTGAAGGAAGAACTAACTACAGCAGAAGCCGAGGCAAGAAAACTGCATCAGGAGAATGCCGAACACCGGACGTATGATATGAATCACATCGATGCGAAGGAGCAACTCAACGAAATTAAAGAAAAATGGATAAATGAAGAAAGTCTTCGTCGAGACTTGGAAAGCCAAGTGAAAAATCTTACAGAAAGATTGCAAAATTTGAAAGTAACTGAGACGTCTTTGAAGTTGCAGTACGACACTTTACAGAAAGAATATGCTGCCAATGAAGAAGCTAAAGGCAATTTGGAGCAGTCTTTGACAAGCGCTAAAGCCAGTATTACGGATTATGAGAACAATTACACAGAACTTTTGCAGAAATACGACGCAATTTTACTGCGCTGTGAGGAACTAAGTACTTTGTTACACGAAAAGGACATTGAAATTATAAATATTAAAGGTCTAGAAGAGCAGAATCGAAAATTGGAACAGCTTGCAAAGGACAATTCCGTCAAGTTGGAGTTATGCGAAACTGTACCTCAACTGATCGCAGAAAAAGATGTGCAAATTGCTAATAGCCTTGCCAGAGTGAGAGAATTAGAATTAGAGTCAGCTGCCTTACAAGGGCTAGCAGTTGAGCAAAAGGAGGAAATTGCTGGATTAGAACGCAGATCCAAAGAGCTGCAGGATTTGGTGGAGCAAACAAGGGCGGGACTTCTCGCAAAAGACGAGCATCTAATTGAACTAAAAAATCGGTTGGAAAATGTGGAGCAACACAATAGAAAGCTGGAACTTGATTCTGTGGAAAACTCCATTAATTCAGAAATTAAGCTGAGTCCCAACGAGCACTCCATTGAACCCATAGACGATAAAAACAAAGCATTGCAGGATGAAATTCTGGCCCTTCAAACCGCCTTAACCCAGAGTCAACAGAGTAATGAGGTCTTGCAACAACAGCTTTTAGAACTTGGAAATTCTCGCAACGAATTAATAAACATGATAACAATAAAGCACCAAGAAAGCCTGAGCTACCATAACGAAATTCAACGATTGTCCCAAATATTGACTAGCGAAGCCGACAAATTCAAGCAGTTAGAAGCCAAACTGGTACAAGCTGGCGAAGCCAGCGACGAAATGGCCAAAAAGAATGAGGAAATCGACAAACTACTCGATCAGAATAACTTCTTGAAAGAGAAGTGCGACGTCCTAACGAAAAACCTCCTAGAAGAGCAATCTAAACTACAGCAGCTTATAGCTGAAAAGTCTGTGCCTTCAGATAAAGAAATTTCATTGTTGAAGCAGTTAGAAAGACTGCAATCCCATCTGATGGAACAGGAGGAACGTTACACGCAAGAACTGCTTCAAGCGGAGCAAAAGAGCTCCCAACTGCGCGCTAAATTAACCGATTTGGAGCAACGCGAGAAAAATTCGAGCACCATGTACACCTCAGTGAGTATTAGAGCAAACCAACAAGTTGAAACATTGCAGAACCAACTCCAAATGGTAACCAACCAAAGAGACGACTTGAGAAAGAAAATATCTGACCTGGAGGACTTCAATAATAAGCAAGCAGCTGGTTTGGCCAACCTGCAGTTCGTTCTAGAACAGTTCCAGAAAGGTGAGTAGTGACAAAACAAATAGTGCCCTTATTGAAAAACATTATACATGCCAGTAATCGGTAACATCTGCTAAACCCGAAGCCACATGTTTGGTTGGTTATATGGGTCGCATTGCGAACGGAATAGTAATGATATACTTTTCAAAAGCAAAAATTTCTAATGTTGCTTTGATGTAATCGTTATAAATACATTGAACACATTTGTTTGGGCTTTGGCCGAAACAGTTGTTTTCGGCATGTAGTATGAATTTCCTGTGGCCATTTCTTGCGACATGTTTGCAAAGGTTCCTGGACTTCCTGGGAGTAATTTTGTTTAATTTGTTTATTAAAAAACTTCAGAATACAAATAATAATTGAAGGGACGAGTCGAAGAAGAAAGTATGTATCAAAAAGAAATTTTAAACTACATTTAATTAAGGTTTAAAAATGTTTGCGGAAATATTTTGTCTGGCTGTTAATTCATTTTGTATTCACTTATTATTGGTTCAGTATACTCACTTTATTATTTACATTTATAATTCAAATTTATTAAATCAGGTCTTGTAAAAAGAAAGTATTTTGTGAAACCTTTAATTTTTTGTTTTATTGCAAACATTCGCTACTTTTTAGTCGATTTGATGGAGAAATAACTTCTTGATGGGGTCCCTTCGAAAATTTACAGCAGGTAGCAAGCAGAATTCTTAAAACGATCATACATAGATATATATTATATTTACCGCATACATATATTATTTTATCGGTTACCCAATTTAAATAAAAAAAACTGGTTATTCTAATAATAAGAAGATTTTCTCGGTCTTAAAATTGTACTCTGAGAATAATATTAGGTTTAATATGAAAGGGAATTTAAACATCAATTTAATTATAGATAAAGAAAAGGACGTTTTAAAAGAAACGGAAAGAATCCGCCGGCAAATCAGCACAGAAAAACAAGTCCAAAATGAACTGCGAGCAGAAATCAACAGCCTGAAAGGTCAGTTGGAAGAGAGCAAAATCGGTCTTCAAGCTGCTTCCAGGCTCTCTGACCAATTGGAGTTGCTGAAGAAGCAGAACTCGGGACTGAAAGATGAAGGTATGGCTCACCACCTAACTGACAATATCAAAGCCAGAAAATGAACAATGAATGCGAGTAAATGTAGTGAGAAAATTTCTGGCTTTGAGTTATGTTTTGTTTTGATTATTACTCCACTCACTTCCAGTAAGTAATGAAAATCATTTTGGACAGTCGTTTTTGAAATATCAGCTGGTAATTCTGGGTAAAAAACATCCCAGAATATCGACTGATATTGTCATGAATGGCTGTAGTGACCTTCACATATTAACATCACATTTTTTTTGTAGGTATCATTAGAATAGATGACCGTTAGATTCTAATTTTGTGTTTTTAGTGTTAAAAATGTTTTTTTGCTTAACCTGAAGTTTCTCATCTTAACGCTTGAAGGTTCAACAGGTTCCGAACATTTTTTTATCTACAAGATGCCTAAACATTCTGTACACATTGAGGTAAAATAAAATAAAAACATTAATCTTTCTTAAAAACTCATTCGTCCAAATTTTATACAACTAAAGTTGCAACAAACATTGAATTTTTGAAACTTTTCAACAGAGTTTTACATCAAAATTTTATTGGGAAGAGCCCACATAAGCGATGGCGAAAGATGTAAAAAAGTTAACTCGCTATCCAACCAGTCAAGCAAAGATATTGAAGTTTTCTTGGTCAACCAAATCATTAAAAATCTCTTTTCCATGTCTGTATTTTCGAGAAACATTTGATGGTTGCAGAAAAAAACATTTTTTCTACCTGAAGACCCTACTGAAATTTTAATATTTTGCATCGCGTGTTTTTTATTTTGTTTTAGTTATCGTTTATTCCCTGTAGAAGTTTGTTGGTTTTTTACGATCACTTTGCGCACCTTGTTTTGGTTGTCCAGTTGCACGCTTTACCTATGTTTTTTAAATCTCATTTAGTAACTGTGAGGTATTTTTCTATTCCCCAGTTGTTAAATGGGATATACAAAAACGTAGTGTCCTGTTCACCATTTTTTTTTTAGTTTATTTTGCTTATTTTACATGGTTTGACGCTTCTCGCATGGAACACAAACACTTATGCAGCGCACAGTTGAAATTTGTTGATATTGTAGTGCTTTGGCGTTGTGCTGTTTGTTTTCCATCGATATTTTCGTTTGCATCTTGTGTATGAAGATATGACTAATTTTGATTTATACCAGTTATTTACAGTTTTCAGTTATTTTTTAAGTGGAGTTGGCATGATGCAACACGCCCTGAAAGATTGGATGTGAGTATTACATCAGGTACTGGTTCGTTTGGATAAATCGGTCCCTGAGTAAGACTTGCACCCTGTCTTTCGTAGTCTTCTGAATGCTAGTTGGTATCCTTTTTTTATTATTATTATTATTATTGTTACTAGTGCTGATAATATGTTATTTAATTTAATTTTGCAAATCGCAAAGATCTTAGATGATTATTACACTAATTGAATTGTATTTTCTAGTGTCCCAGTTGCAACAAAAGCTATCAAAAACTCAACAAGCAATCCATGACCTAACCAGCCAAACCGATGGGAAAATCGACAAATCCCTAATCAAAAGTCTACTAGTCGGTTTTCTGTCATCGGGAAATAGTAGCAATTGGAACAAAGACCAGTCGCAGGTTCTGAAATTGATCGCCACCGTGTTGGATTTTAATCAACAAGACCACGACAAAGTAAAACTGAACAAACCGCAGTCAGGCTCGTGGTTAAGTTCAATTTTGTCTCCCCAGTCAAATAACTCGAACATGTCTCATGAGTCTTTGTCTCAGGCTTTTGTGAAATTTCTGGAAAATGAGTCAAGACCCAGAGTAGTGCCGAGTCTGTTGAGCGAGGAGCCAAATAAACATAACTCAAGCACTGAAAGCAGTAAACGAAATACACCATCAGCGTCACCAGCTCCGATAGTATTAAATGAAGTATTTCTTCCTACATTTGCGGATTTCGGTCAAAGTAGAAACTCTAGTTCAATTTTAAAAGACGTGCTGAAAGACAATAATAGGTAAACAGGTTTTGCCGTAATATAAATGTCGCTGTAAAAACTGTATAGTTTCTTTTATGTCCTTAAATTAAGATTGTACATTCGTTCACTATTATTCCATTACTGTTTTTATTACATTTAACCTATGTACGCATTTAATGAAAGAACAAGTTAAAATATTTGTAATAAATGCAGCTGTTACTCTTATCATTGTTTAATTTTTTCCTGCCTGCCATTGATTGCCGCTTTAAAATTAAATAAAATTTTATTTTGGGGACAATTCAAGCCACTTGGAGCTTCTTGTGAAGTATTTTAAATCAAAATCAAGTGAAATTCTTAATATAATTTGACAATATCGCAAATAATACATAATGCAGTCCATCAGCAGGTTTGCAATCAGTCTTAACAGAAACATGCTCAGATAACTGCGTTCAAAGTGTTATTTTTTTAGAAAAAGTAGTCAAATTTGTAGTTTAATAATAAATACGGTAATTTTGCTCTGTATCTAAACTTTTAATTTACTAAAGAGAAAGACAGTCCCGAAAAGTCCGAGATCAAAATTGTTTTTTTGGCTCTTCAGATTATAGTCCGCCCCCAAATGATAACCCTTCATGTCTAAAATTGGTCAAATTTGCGGTTGTAATTTTGAAACAATGAGAAATTGTTGTTTGTTTCTACCCGTTTCCGAGACCTGAAAGAACCTGTTCTATCAGGGATTAAAATTTGAGTTTTTTCCTTTGGCAGTCATGAAAGTTTCTTCCGTCTAAGCAGGAAAAGGATGTAATCCTATCTAAATGGTTCTTACGACTTGCAGGTATTCTCAACACTTTCCAAGATATAAACTTCGACACCCTCTAACAATTTAACATGTTTGTTACGAACTCTGAAACGATTACAAATTTTGGATGAATCCCAATTAAGAACAGGCAAAACTGGTCGAAATGGTATTTAAGATTCATCAAATGTTTCAGAGATAATGAGCTGTTTTGAATTTTTAGTTTTTCTTATTTTTGCTTCCTTTCAAAATCAAATAGAAAAAAGTAAGATTATTTTATTGTTGTGTGTATTGGTTATTATTATCTTTTAATTTTATTATTGCTACTGTTAAATTTACTTTTCTGGCTTACTTAAAAGCAAGATTTGCATGATTTTGGTTTGTTTTGCGCATCCCTAGTGTTCTTTGATATCTTATGAGAAGATAGTCATTTTCAGTCAGTGTATAACATCTTCAAAAATCGCATTTCCCGAAGAAACTAATTAGTTAGAAAAATGATTGACTATTCACAATTTAAGACTGTTTTGAACTTAAAACGCATTGAACCATAAACTAGCTAATTATCTACTTTTTGTTGTTTTCATGTTTCAATGTTTTCGTTTTAGTTTAAACCGCTTAAAAGCAGCAAAACCATGAGTTTAACGAGTTTCATTCATTCTCGTCGATTCTGAAACCATACCGTTAACATTCAAATCCTTAAACATTTTGTAATTGAATTGAAAATTTCGCAAATTTCAATCAAAAACTACTAAAGAAAGTCGCCAGTAAAGGGATTATCTGTAAGGTGTGCATATTGATAAATTGGAGTGCAAGCGCCTGATAAACTAGGAAATTATCGAGCCGGATTGAGACGCACTACAACCAGCCGGGAAAACCAATAAATGGGTTTTGCACATATTTTCATATCAAAGAATAGTTTCAGGAAATGCTCAGTCCTTACTGTTCAAATTGCTCATTATCACTTGGCCCATATTTCGTTAAATCAATATAAATAGAATGTTGGGGTTTAGAACCTTTTGTCCATACCAAATACCCGACCATGAGTACCTGGTCTTCTTATGATAACAATAATGCCAACTTACCTGTTCTCAAAGCAGTCCTGAAGTGAAAATGATCTAATTGATTCGGACAAAAGCTTGAAACTTTATAAAAGAGCCAGTTGCGTTTCAGAACGTGCAAACTGCTCATATTAAAACAATAATGATTGAGCCATTTTCAATAATGTCAAAGTACAACAGGGAAATTTCGTGTTTTGTTGGTCGTCCTGAACCTAACCAAAAAGGCACAAATTATGTCCGCTGACAAGGCGTTCACTGTCAAATTCAAGTAAACAGATATTTTATTTTATTTTCGCTTTGCAGCAGGTACAATGTAAACGATATTTTGTTATATAAAATGGCTCAAGGAGTTTTGAGTTCAGATATCTCCAGGAGAAATCCCCAGGACGATTACGAGCTGATCCAAAGAATTGGGAGTGGAACTTATGGGGACGTTTATAAGGTCTGCAGCAAAGCAATTTACATCTCAATTTATTATTAATTTATTACATTCTAATTATTGTTTCAGGCCAAAAGATTATCCACAAATGACCTGGCTGCAATTAAGGTTATTAAATTGGAAGCTGGTAAGTTGTAAACCATCAACGTGAGGGTCAAATTTTGTGCAATTATTACATCTCTTTGTAGGAGATGACTTTGGAATCATACAGCAGGAAATACTTATGATGAAGGATTGTAGACACCCCAATATAATTGCATACTATGGAAGTTACCTGAGAAGAGATAAACTATGGATATGTATGGAATATTGCGGTGGAGGATCCTTACAAGATATTTATCACAGTAAGTGCTTTTTTGCCATACGGTTAAAATTTTGCTTTATGTCTTGTATGCACTCTATTCGAATTGATATAAGAACTAAATATCCCGTCTATATATTTTTAGAGGTTTTATTACTACGACATTGGTGTGTCACAAAATGATTTGTTCACTAAAGGTAAACTGAAAAGCTAAAAACTAATAACGTTTCTCGTTTATCAAAGTTTAGTAATCGTTGCTCTAATTTAAGAAATAAGAAATAGAATTGCATGAATATCGCACGATTTGTAACTTAAGTTGTTGTTGATAATTAAATACCAGTGAAAATTACAGCAAGTTTTGGTCAACACGTTTGTATTCGCGTAATTTTGCTTAATTTCCTAGCTTAATAGATCTATTAAAAGAACATTGTCGAATTTTCAACAGCCTTGCTTTTTGAGAAGTTAACTTTAAGGCTTTAAAACCTTTGCATAATCAAGTTTCAGTTCAGAGGTTGAATATGGGAACAAGTGGTGAATACATTTTCTCTGGCTGACAACTTAATACTAATAATTTCACTTTTTTTATTATCTATTTAAATTAGACGAACGAAATATTGCATAATTCATTTGGTACCCAAAAATGTCTGCATTTTATTAGAAACACCCTGATGGTTTGTTGCTCACTCTCTTTTTTACATATTCTGAGAGCAAGTTTTGTATTTTCTACCTACTTCTATATTATTATTTGAATAGTGATACTGCCGATTGATCGTGACGCTTTCCAGTGTTCAAAGTTCAAGTTTCTTAACAGTTTGGTCAAGATTACCATTCCACTTTCATTATTATTATTAATATTATTATTATTATTATTATTATTATTATTATTAGTTGTAGTAGTAAAAGTATAGCTTTTAACCTCTAGCGCTTACTTATAGCAGCATTATAAAACTGCCATATCCGCGAAGGATTCTGAATACATTTTGGTACATACAGATTTGGTGCTCTGCAAGGACCTCTTTTTGAGGCGACCATAGTTTTAAACCATTATTTCTACGAAACGGTTGAAAACATCGGATCAATCGTAATGAGCTTTTTGAAAGCGCACTTTCACTCAAAACTATCTTTCACCAATTCATTTTTATCAGAAATTTTTAATCTAAATATTTCGAAGTGAAACTGTATAACTTTCGGGATCCTCGAACTTTAAAACACCTATCTCAGAAACGGTTCGAAAAATCCAATCAGTTGTCAGGATATATTGGATAGCCTGTTTTATTCTCATTGCCCTACTTAGGATTTATCAGAAATTCCTTAGATAGAAGATATAGAAGCAAAATTAGTAAAATCAATAAAAAATAATATTTGGGGTATTTTAATGAGATAACGCGACATGAGCTTTGCTCTGGCAATCTGTTATTAATTTTCAACTTTACCTGTGCGATTTATATAGTTTTTCTGTGGTTAAACTTCAGGTTTAACTTGTCTAGATTTGTATATATTTTGGCGGTTTTTTGCTTAACTTGAATACTAGAACTTTCTCCGTTCTGCATCATGCGTCTTCCTCATATGCAGTCGGTCTTATTACAGAAATATATTTTTTAATTAAATTAATTTTTTTGAGAACTGAAAAGCGAAGGTGAGATTAACGGAAACATGAGACAAGTTTAAAACTTAATCAAGCAATCTACTTAAAAAAAAATCGCAGAGGAAACCTTTGTATTTGACAAGCTTAACTTCTTATATTTAGATATTGATTTCTAGCTTATTATTTCGGGGTTTTGCTAAAAGTAAGCGGCATTTTTCTGACGTCTTTTAGCTAAAGCGTTTTCTTATAATGGAAGTGAATCGTACAGCTAGAAATCGATTCAATACATTGTAAAGAATTAACTTTAGACTCATTTGCTTAATGTGGAATAATTCCCAAAATGTTTTATAACACGGAATCAACACAACATAGATCGGAATCTAGGCACTTGCAGAACAAGGAGATTTCTCTAAAATTGGTTGCCCTAAAACCTCTTACTTACTGAGTTGCTGTATTATAAGAATTTCCGAATTAATCAGGCCATCAGGTCTACTAGAGTTATAAATAATTCGCAGAGTTCGATGAATTTTTCACCAACTGTATCCGAGTTAAAATTAATCCTTCGTTTCCCAGAAGATTAAAAATGAGCTGTCTCTCTATAGTTGGCCTTTTGCCGTAAATAAATTATTAAAGAATCTCTTTATAGTTACGGGACCTCTCGCCGAGTACCAAATTGCTTACATGTGCCGGGAAACATTATTGGGCTTGTCTTATTTGCATGGAATGGGAAAAATGCATAGGGACATTAAGGGAGCCAATATATTGCTAACGGAGAGCGGAGACGTAAAACTAGCGGACTTTGGAGTGTCTGCTCAGATCACTGCGACGATAAATAAGAGAAAATCTTTCATTGGTACCCCTTATTGGATGGCGCCCGAGGTAGTACCAAGTGTAAACGGCGGTTTTTTTGGTCTAATTGACTTGGATTTCTTCTTTCGATAGGTGGCTGCTGTTGAGAGAAAAGGCGGATACAATCAGTTGTGCGATATTTGGGCCATAGGAATCACGGCAATTGAGTTAGCAGAATTGCAACCGCCAATGTTTGACTTGCATCCAATGAGGGCGTTATTTCTAATGTCGAAAAGCGGTTTTAAACCACCAACTCTTAAGGATAAGGAAAAATGGTAAGAACACATAATCAGGTACAATGGAATATGTGCATGTTGTAACGATTTTAAGGAGTCCGACGTTTCACAACTTTGTCAAAGTAGCCTTAACGAAAAATCCGAAAAAACGACCTACTGCAGAAAAGTTGCTTCAGGTATGGCATGATAAAAGGCAGAAGGATTTCCGCAACTGTATCTGATAATCTTTACTTTCAGCATGCGTTTTTTCAAGGAGATATGAGTAGAAGACTGGCCATAGAATTATTGCAGAAAGTGAACAATCCTTCTCATATGTTTGCAGATGCAGAACCCGATGAAGATGGGGTATTTTCAGTTGAGACTTTCAATTTCCAAATAGTTCACAATTTTTATATTTAGGCTGTGCCGAATGTGCCCCAGCGAATCGCATCCCGACTGACTTCAAGACCAAAGCAATCCAATTCACAGATTGTAGATGTGAACAGTATCGATGAAGCGAATAATACTCTTCCCCGATTCGGTACGTGTGTCATTAAATATGAGCTTCTATATGTCTCTATAAAATCTTCTATATGAGCTATTTTGGATTGATTGTGTTTGTTGTTGTTTAAGAAATTTTGATAATTTTCAGAGGAAAGTAGTGAGGTAGTTGAGGACCAAAATGCTCCGTGGAATTTAACAGATATAATGAATAACGTTACCAGCGTTCATAATTGTGTGGAACATCAAAACAAAAAATGGGGTATTGGGACTGCCTTCGACTCGCTTAGCCGTGAAAAGTAAGTGATACATGGCTTGTATTTATTTTGAATGGATATCATTAAATAGATTTTTACAGCAAATTTATCGCTAGAAAAATGACGTAGAAGTCCCGCATTTTGGATAATAACTGTGAAATTTTCAATGTATAGTTATTTTATCGTTAAATTGCTTAATTGATTTAGAACATGTTTTATATAGTTATTTTTTCCCTTGTAATACTAAATATACTGTTTTGTGCCGTAGTACTGAAAGAAAAACTTTAACCGGGTCGCAAATTTTGAGAATGTCTCTGAGGTTAGATGTTTTGGTTGAGTGTGCAGTTTGCAGTTATGTTGCAATTTTAAATTCCAGTTTTTATCATTTGCTCATTTGGCTTGGCATTAACATATAATATTGCTTAAACGTGTTTTTAGTGCGCGTTATTTACCACCAATATACTAATTTCATTAATGATTTTCTAAAGAAATAACACTTCGTGGATTCTCAGCATCAATAGTCTATGTATAATGTTCATAAACCATTTATCCCCTAAAATACACTGGGTAATTGCTGTACTTTTCTACCAAGTTTGTTTTTTAATAGGTTTTTAAATTAACAGCATTATGAACTAATCGGGTTTCTTTTCTGAATACATTTAGTATAAACTTTATTGTTATTATTTTAAATCAATATTATGTTATTTAGGAGTCTCTTGCAGTACATAGATGAGGAATTAATGATGAGGTAATTCTCTCTTTAATCCGAAACTAATATGCTTTTCCTAACTCACACACACATAATGGCTTATTTTTTTGTTTTTACTTAATACACAACACCTTTCTTCTAACGCTTCATTAACAGTTTTATAGGGGATTGGGATTTTGCGTAGTGTGGCATTTTTGGTCGCATTTGAGTGATGCATATTGTTTTTACATCCTTTTAGGGGCACCTTCAAATATGGACACACGGACTACGAACAACAGTAAGTTTTAGTAAACGGGAGTTAGTTATATCCAGACCCACCATTTGTTAACAGTAAAACAATCCATAAGTATGGGGAATGTGAGAAGTTTGTGCTCGTTTTCTACGTTTTACATTCGGATTAAAGTTTTAAAAAATTACATTCTGCAGATGGTGGGATCAAGTTTTTTATGAGTTTAGATTAGTTATAGATAGAGTGAATTTAGGAATGTTGCAATTTTAATTTACAGTACCATTGAATAACTAAGGAGTCTGTCTAGTAAAAGATGTTTTAGATTTTTTCCAGTATTTTCCTAATTTTTATTAAAATAACGTTTTACACATAGGTGCACAAACTGTAATTTATCAATCAATTTCGCCTTGAAGGCAGGCCATGTCCCATTAGTACCATAGTTTTTGTAATCCAATTTAAGAAAAACCTTGGTTATTGCTTTTGTGGATGTGTTGTTTTAATGTAGGCGAGTTTCGAATGCCAGTCCCATTTCAGCATCAGTCTAGATCGACCTTTGCCCAATCAAACGTAAACAATGTGGAATTATTCTTTTAACGATTTTAATTCGTTCTGATTACATTGGGAGTAATCTTTTTCTCGCGATCATCGCCGTGATTATTTTTAGCTGAAACTTCCGTTTCCTCCGTTACACATTTAAAGTAGTGAGTATTGTTTGAAACCTGAAAAGGTGTGAGCTTAAATATTTTGGCTGCAGCTGAAATCCTAACGGATTTGTTGATTTAGTGCAACTAACGATGTGGAAGTCAAGCTGACGAAGTGCTGGACTTTTAATTCACCTTGTCGCAAAATAATTAACTTTAACAAATCAATTTATTTGAAACAAAGATTGGATCGGTTTTAGGGTGAATCAAAAGTGGGAAATCTAGTCACTTTCAAATCGAATGGCTTGATCATTAGCCGCTGAAAACGTGCATTTTTGTCCTTGTTTTAGAGCTACATTGCCAGTAAAAGACTCCGAAACAAAATGTGATATTCATGCAGTGACTAGTCCGGTGGACGACTTGGCTTTGAATGGTTCACCTCGAAGACATTCTTCTGTGGATGAAATCTTCGGATTAGTCAATTCCATGAACATCAATGGCCAGCGCCAAAGATCACTTAGCGATAGTTCTAGAGCGGAAAGGGCCAGTAATAACGGTGAGACCAATTCAATCGTAAAAATGTTGGATACATTTGAGTTTTCGGTAGGTTCGGATTCCAAACAGAGTCTTAATCACGATTCGAGTGCGCCAGATTTAGTGGCTTGTCCTCCGGTGCCCCCAAGAAAGCATCGAAGAAGACACACGCCCCCACGGCCACCGAGTAATGGACTCCCGCCAACCCCCAAAGTGCATATGGGCGCATGTTTTTCAAAGGTACGATTCAATATTGTAAACTTGATTAACAAAAGTCTGCGGCAATTGAATTGTTGCAGTTGCAACGATTAGAGTTGCATAAAAGATTAGTTTAATATTTTAGGTACAAGTAATTCTCTTTGCTGTAGGTTTTTAATGGTTGTCCTTTGCGAATTCATTGCACGGCTTCATGGATTAATCCGGACACTAGGGATCAGCATATACTGATTGGTGCCGAAGAGGGAATTTACAATCTGAATTTAAACGAACTACATGAAACGTGTATAGATCAGTTGTATAATCGGCGCACAGTGTGGATGTACGTGATCAAGGATGTGCTCATGACGCTCTCGGGAAGTAAGTAGCTCAATTTTTGGTAAGTGTTTTCGAATAAACGCCAGCAAAATACTTATTAACTATTATTTCGTGGCTTTACAAAAGTCTTGTAAGTTTGCATTTAAAAGTCACGTTGTTGCTCGGTAAAATGCAGTCTTATTGAACACGTTTTCATGCGTCGGAGCACTATTTTCTAAATCTATCAGTTAAAGACAGGTTTAATTCCTTTTTAATTTGTTTAATCTTTTTTGTAAAGTAACAGAACATGAGCCAAAAGTAATTCTTGAGCGTGAGACACACCGTTCTAACAAAGGTCCGTTTTCTAAAACCTACTTTGATGGTAGATACACTCAAATAATAGTTTTCGATAGAATTGCGAAATAATTATTAGGAAAAGATGTACGCTGATATGGAGGAATGGTTGTACCCTAAGGGAAGAAGCAGGAAGGTTGTTTGCCTTTAAAACGAATGTAGCAAATTTGTTCACTTATTGTTTTAAATGCTATGAGAGATTCCACAGGAAGGTTTTCTAATTGTCACAACGATGTTTTTTTACGAGAAGGGGTTGTTGGGGGACCGGCATTCCTGACCTACTAAGTTCACTCAATTCCCTCCACTGGCAAATTTGTTATTTGCCATTTGAAATATTCCAGTTATTCCAGGTATTTGCTGGCGGATATTTCGATTGAACTGTTTTACATGTTTACCTTATTGTTGGATATGCGAGCTAAAAGTGTTTTGTTTTCAATGTGATCTTAATATTTCCATCATTTTATCTACGTATTAATTATTTCCAGGCAAATCGCCGCAATTATACAGGCACGATCTCATCGCATTACAAAGTAAGCAATCGCACAGGTTCAGCCTTCACATGAACCGGATACCTGAAAAGCTAGTCCCTAGAAAGTTCGCTTTGACTACCCGAGTGCCTGACACGAGAGGCACTTTGAAGTGTTGCGTAGCCAGAAATTCTTACAACGGCTACAAGTATCTTTGCGGTGCTACTGCTACTGGGATTTACTTGATGCAGTGGTATGATCCGTTGAACAAGTTTATGCTCTTAAAGGTACGAAAACTGGGCAATTGGCTTTGTTTATTTTAATAATTGCAGTCATTTTTCCAGCATGTTGAATCCGTATTGCCAAATCCGCTCAATGTTTTTGAGATGATCATCACTCCGGAGCTTGAGTATCCAACGGTGTGCGTTTCCATTAAACAAGCATACCAACCCAATCGGTTTAAGCTGGACTTAATCAATTTGAATTCGGGTAAGTGCACTTTACATTCTATAAGTTTCCGAATTAAATCATCGCATAAAATCGGTGTAAGTGATTATTCAAAAAAAAATAGACAAGAATATTCGATGTAGTTCTAGGTAAATGCTATGCGACTGGAATATCGAATTGCACTCTTGATGCCCCAAAATGGTGCGGCTATATGAAAAACCCGTTCTGTATGTATATGTTTGCGCTTCCGTGCATTCACTAATATCAGCTTCGATTTTCTTGGCAAACGCTGAAATAACAACGATAACTTTGTGTTGAAATTATCGAAACGCTTCGGTTTTATACACGTTTAGGGAAATTGGTAACCAATCGAGCGAAATGAAAACACAAAGCCGCATTATTGTTCATTTAGAGTAGTTGTAGGATGAAATCTTTAGGTTTGCACTGGTGGAATTTGATATGTTTATAAAACTATTGCGTTCCTCAAAACACCTGTATTATATTGAACACTTTTGCTTTTCAGACAACAATATTTTTAAATGCTTTCGACTTTTTTCTTCCTTTTAGCGCAATAAATATACGTTTTTCCCACTCAGTTGATGAAACTTTTTTATAGGGGCCAGTTGGTTCCATTCGGACGAACTTCAAGACATGGACGGGACAGCAACGGTGATACCCAGAAGGGAAAATTTAAATATAGTCAACGTAACCCAGCTGGACAAGGACGTGATTCTGGTCTGTTACGATAATATTATTAGATTGGTAACGCCTCAGGGGAAAATCAAAGTTAGCAAGAAACAAATATCGGAGCTCAGCTTCGATTTTATAATCGAGAGCATATGTAAGTACTGAAATTATTCACTTAGTTGATAAATATAAAATATGTTACTGTGTGTTTCAGTGTGTCTTCCCGATAGTGTTCTCGCATTCCACAAGCATGGAGTGCAGGGCCGCTCGTTGCGAAATGGCGAAATTACACAAGAAATTTGCGATGCTTCTAGGACTTACAAATTATTGGGCTCGGATAAGTAAGTAGTGCAAAATGATGCTATGAAGCATCTAATTTTATAGTTTAGGGATTCTTGTTTTTTCCTATTTTTTATTTCCCGAGCCATAAAGAAAAAGTACACAAAAGACAAAATTGCATGCTACTGTGGATATATTCCAGTAGTTATCAACCAAACTATGTTTTCATTTTCTTCATACCAAAGGAACATTGTCTATAATTGATTACTTTTCAAATAAGCCCCATTAGCTCACATTCACGAATTGCGTCAACTTTAATTACCCGATATGAAAAATATATTAACTAATTCTGTATGTTTTCATCGTATTTTTCAGGGTGGTGATGTTGGAAAGCAACTTACTAAGAACGGGAACATTGACTAATGAGGAAGGTCACGATTTATACATTTTGGCTGGACACGAAGCTAGTTACTAAAATAATCATGTAAGTTTGGTTTTCGACAAAATAATGCTCATTCTCACTTTGGTTCTGCACATTTTACAACATCAAGTTGTTTTTTAATATCGTTCGGAAAATTTTATATTTTAAAGACTGGATCTTTTTTATTTCTACAGATTTTAATGTTGATTTTTAATCAGGTTGATGCACTAGTAATTTATTCACAATTTTGTATATGTACAGGCTCAAATACTTATGAAGCTGTTTAACTTAACTGGGGTCTTAGAGCTATCAAAAGGAAGCATAAAACTGCAATACTGATTGCCTTCAAGGTTAACAACTGCTCGTGATTTGGGAAAACCAAATATTTTGCATATTCCCACATTTGCATGAAACGGTTCATGCACAAATGAAATCAAATTTGAATAATAATCCATGAATGTAGTTGTTACTAAACAATTAAAGTTTACTAATTTCTTACAATTAGAATGTAATTATGCTACCTACACGTTATGTAAATTCAACCATCTAGGAAAAAAATAAGAATTTGTTCTGTTTCAGGTCAGTGCTCACCTTCGCTTCGCTTTAGTCAAAAACTAGGCTAATGAAATTAAAATAACTTCTTAGAATAGAATTTTTCTTAGATCGAAATTAAAGAGTTGAAACTCTAGCGACGGTTTTTAGATGTTTTCGAAAACTATATACATCTCATTACATAAGTACCTTCAGTAAAGACATGTTTAATCTCGACAAGGTGTAAAAAGCATGGTATTTTTAGATACTGAAATTGTAAAGGTTTTACGATATAGAAATTTGATATATTTTCGTGATTGATGACTACTAAATTCTATTTTAAAGGTAGATGAGATATACCTGAAACGTATTTTACAAATAGGCACTAAGGTTGTGCTACCGGGATCACGTGCGTTTTTCGTTATCCTTCTGTTCGAGACTGATCTAAGTTCGTCGTTTCATTGTTTGCTAGTCATATTCGTGTTGTTAGTTCAAAGCTTGATTCCGAAGTTAAGTCAACTAACAACTTTTTGCTCCATGTACTAGAAAGCTTTGATCTAATAAAATCTATTGTTAAGAACTAGAGTTATTTGTGTTTAAAGTTCAAGTACAGGAGCTTTTCCACTTTCTTTCAAAACCTAACTAGATTCTGAAAGTTTAAACGATGTCTAATTAGCAGTGAATTTTGCAGTCCATTTACTGATTACAAAACAAACTAACCCTGTACTTGACCTTTTCTAGTATTTCACAATATCCCAAATCAATTGTCCCATATGTGCATGACATTGTACATAACTACTTAAAAGACGAAAATCTGATATAAACTATTGTCATAAAGCAAAGCTGGTAAAAACATCTCCTCCGTAAATGAACATTGAATCAAAAATACTGGACAATATAGTTATCGTAGTTTATTCAAGATTTTCGTGAATATTGTATATAGTGTGATATGTAGATAATTTAGGTGGTTATTTATCATTTTAAATTATCCATGAGAGATTAGGTGTTAATGTTACGACTAATTAATGAATTAATTTTAAACCAAAAATTTGCAAAAATGACATCGTTGCGTTCCAATATCCATAACAAAAATGTTTTCCTCTAGCAAGCTTCTATTCTGTAATGATCGTATCGCCGAATCAAATTTAACTAGTTTGCATTTTTATCTGTCGAAGTTTTTATAATTGTAACGTTTCTTTATTCCTAAGCTGTCCAGATCGTTCAGAATATGCTGAAAATATAAAAAAAAAACGTTCTTTGAAGCTTTTACGTAATGGTATCAATAATTGTGTCGTGTCCATGAACTTCGGTTCTTTATTTTTAGCGTGAATCTAATCTAATTAATTTAGACATTGTATTGATCATGTTCATGTTATTGCCATTTCTTATATACTCATGTTCAAATGTTTGTTCTCACCGGAACAGAAACATTGCATTTTTTGTACACGTCGAGGAAATTACATTACTTTCTATGTGTTCATATTGATATCGCGATTGTTTTTGGATACAGAGTATTATTGGATATTATCGCACACTTAGTGAGATTCGTAAGCAATGAACGATTTTTATAGTATTTCTCATTATCATCTAATACAACGTGTGCATTGACAAAATATAAAACCATTGCCAGAGCTTTGCAAATTTTGATTTGGAAATCTTTCCATTTTTCTTAAGTAAAATCCTTCATAGCAATTTTTCCATATTTCGTAAGTAAAATGGCATTTTAATCTCTTTCGATTTTCGTGGAAGAGATGTGTGAAATACTCTGAGATCAGCGACAGTACCCGAAGTAGGCAACGTCTTGAAGTTAGAATTTTTTTTTTACTTCAAACCGTTGCTCATCAACGCATTACAATAATCTACAGCACATCCGGCTGTGTTTACTTTTAATTATCTCGTAATATAATTAATTCGTTTCCTATGTAAATACTGTATAATGAAAAGTAACATGTCGAACATACCAAAAATAATATTAATACTTTTAAGTTAGATTACAGGCAGTTTTTTACTAGTAGTACATTAACCCCGCACGTTCATCATTAGTTTTATAAGTATTTATGAGACAAATACAATAATCCGTTCTTGAAACTATCACAGTTATACATGTTATTTTATTTACCAAAATAAAAACATATTTTAATTGTTTCTTGTGCCTTATATGCCACAGTTACAGTTAACCCGTTAAGTAACAACAGTTTTACTGTTTGGTAGCGAATGTTTCTTGAATGTATTGCAATTGTAAAGCAATTCCATATAAACTATCTTCTGAAAACCAAAGGTGAAGATTCTATTACAGCTATGACCTTTAGAACGGAAGTAATTCGACTTCGAAAATTTATTAACAACAATATGAACATTTATTTTCAATATTTTCTCGTTTTGAGCAGATAAAATCTACTTCTTGTTACGTAAAGCACCTATAGAACAGCATACAAAAATTAGTATATTTTGCTCTTACTTGGACCGAGTTAATTCGAATTCGAATAATTAATTAGAGGTGTGCTAATTGCGGTTATTTTTCTGAAGGTTACAACGTTCCGGTTTCACTTTGGTATGCGGTTCCAAAAGTAACATGCTACTTTTAAAATTTTTCATCACAAATTCGTAATGATGATAAATAATGATTTAGTTTATAAAAAAAATAATTCTTAGCGTTGGTAAATGCGAAAACGTTTAAAAAGCTAATTTTCAGTTAAAAATGAATTAACATTTAGGAATATTTTTTGCGTGTGCTTTTTACTAAGTCTAGTTCTTCGCTCGTTTATCATAACACCAGCTTTGGAAAATAATTTGTCGCATGAAACAGAAGTACTAATATACCTGTGTTTTTTTGTTATGATACAAGTTTGTCAAAACCTTGTAAAAATT